CTTCCTTCCTTCCTTCCTTCCTTCCTTCCTTCCTTCCTTCCTTCCTTCCTTCCCTCCCTCCCTCCCTTCCTTCCTGTTTTTGTGGTAGCTAGTAGGCTAGCAGACTTAGTCCTCAAAAGGGGCCCATTCTCCTTTCTCGGTCTTTGGGATCCTCCTCTAAGAGACTGATTTCCTCTGGAGGTGGGGTGGGGCTCTTCTAGAGTTTGGGGGCTCCCCACTCCCAGCTCACCATGGCAGGACAACAAGTTTACTGTCTCCCAGGCCTTCCCTGCAGAAGGAAGCTCTAGTTTGCCAGTATAACTTGGGGAAGTGGCTCACCTCACTCTGATCAGATCCCATGACCTTGCTCTGCCCCAAGCCCTGATCCAACACAGGCACTCTGAGCCCATGTTGCCGGCCACTGGTGCAGCTCAACCCTCAGGCTCTGAGTGGTCAGGTGGCAGAGAGTTCCTGTGCCTGAGCCTTCTATCAGAAGAGTTTGTAGGCTGGTGGGGGTGGTGGGGTCCCAGCTTCTCCATTTCTTGGCTATGTGGGCAAGCACTTCCCTCCTCTTCCTCTAGAGCTATCACTGGTTGAGGGCTTACTATGAAAGAAGCTGTGAACTTGTTGGGTCCACGCAAGCCCTGGGACATGTTCTAATCATGCCCATTTGACTAAGGAGAAAATTGAGAGGTCAATGGGCTTGCCTAAGGTCACACAGCTCAGTAGGTCAAACCTCAGTTTACTTGTTATTCAAACTCCTGCCTTTATGGTTTAAGAATTAATTGGCATAATGTCTATCGAGCGATTGGCAGAGGGCCACGCTCCAAGTAGGAACTCCTTGCCTTGCCCACCTACCAACACTGAGATATTCCTCTGCTGGGTGGCAGTAGGGGAGGGATAAGGAAGTAGAGAGGGCAGAGAGTGCTGTAATAGCAGTCAGGGGCTTCCCCAGAGGAGGCCATGTCTATAGCTGGGGAGGATTGGGGAGAACACTGCTGTGTGTCTTGGGGAAAAGCGCCACACTTCTCTGTTTCTCTGCCTGTAGGGTGGCCGCCAGCACCACATCTCCCTCCTCTGGGGTAAGAAGGAGCTCCTTCAAGGAAGGAAAGAGATTTGTAAATAGCAGGTGTGGCCTCATTAGAGGGAGCCACATTGTTATTAATAACCTTGTAGGTAATGAGCTGAGGTTCAGGGAGCTGACCTTTTACCTTGCCTTCCCAGAGAGCCAGGAGGAGTAATCAGTGTATCGGGTGGGGTGGAGGAGGAGTGTGCTGGTGAAGCCTGTATAGACCTGGTGGTGAGAATAAAACCTCCCTTCCAAGTTCTTCTATGCTACTTTGTTAACTCTGCCCAGGAAGCCCACAGAAGGACAGACTGTTCCTTCAGACCCTAATACCATTTCTCCTCTCCCAGACCACAGCCTAATAAACAGGTGGAGGCTCCCAGGGGAGTCACCTTGTATCGATTACCTTCCTTCATCCAACAAAGGCTTAATAGTCACTTCTCTCCACAAGTTCTGCACATGACCCTTGGGGTAGAGAAGGGCAAGGTCAGGGCCTCCAGGAACTCACAGTCTGCTGATACATACAGAGCTTTTTACAGTTTATAAGCAATTTCCCACACCGATTTTTTTGAACACGTACCTCAGTCTATGAAGCACGGTTTCCATTTTCCAGATGAGGAAGTTGAGGCTCAGACTTTCAGAGTGGCTGCCAAGTCCCCTATCCTGCACCCTTTCTTTTATATTTCAAGGTGTTTAAGTGATGCTGAAAGGAATGGACAAGACACTGATTAAGGAAACTGCTGTCTTTTTGAAATGCTCCTGCATTAAGACAAGACTCAGTGGGGTAGAAGAATCTTAACTGGCCCCTAAAGTCTTATCAGGCTCATCCTGGCCTGGGTGGGCCTCTCTCAGGCTCAGAGAGATTGGAGAGAGCACCGAGCCACCTGAGCACACAACCTGAGAGTTCTAGACCATAAGAGTTGAGAACACTGCCCTCCTCCCACCCCACAGTAGCAATGTGGAGGTGGGAGGAGGGTGTTGTATTGGAGGAGGGGGAAGAGAGGGGAGGGCACAGTTGGTGAGGAACAAGAGTAGAGAACAAACAGCCTGTGACCAGAGGCTTGGTCATGACCCTTACTTATCAGCACAGAGATGTGCTTTCCTGATGCTAAGGTATGGCAGCAGGAGGATCCCCAGACTAAGAGCCAGAAGATCTGGGTGTTAACCCCAGCCTGCTGTGTGGCCTTGGGAAAGCTCCACCTGTCTCTGGGTCTCTGCTCCCCAGATCTCTTCAGACTCTTTCTAAGGACCCTCCAGCTCTCAACTAAGTGATATGCTTTCCCCTCCCCCCAGGTGACCTCCCTTCCTCTTCCTATTCCTACCTGCAGTGTCCAGCCCCTCCTCCTCAGTTCCAGCTGCTCCAGCTGCTTCTGGACTCTTGGAACCTGAGGCCTCATGCCTGTGCTGCCTTCTGACTCAGGAAGCTCTGACCTTTGGGATCTGAGCAGGTGCCTGGATGGTTTTGCCCCATGAACTTGCTCTAACCTTTGGCATGTCCACCTGTCCCCAGTTCTTGGAAAGCCCAGGAACTGTGCGGGCCCAGGTTTCTTCAGAGAAGGTAGCAGCGTCAAAGGGCTTATCCCAAATCAGGTGGCCCAGAGAGGGCAAATGGGGATAGCTCTTCCACCCCACCAGCCCCTTTCTTCTCAACATACTGAAAAGGAAATTTGAGGAATTTTCATTAAGAACTAATCAGCCATTTGTTCTGCTTCTGTAAATATGCTTGCCGCACGCAAGAGCTCACTTGCAGAGCTCACTTGCACTTTGCTAGACCTGTCTAAGTAACAAATGTAACCGCTTATGCCCCCAGCAGCTCCTGCCTCTTGTAGCACTTTGTACCTTACCAGCCCCCCCTTCCTGTAACAATTTGTAACCATCGGTAACCCATAACAACTCCTGCTGCTCTACCAATGTTATTACTTGCAACCATAGCAACTCCTGCTGTTTGTAACGGCTGAGTTCAAATTAACCAATCAGCTTGCGTAGAAAGCCTGTATATAAGGAATGTTGCAACTGTGCTCTTGGCTCAGACCTTCAGAGCTTTAGCTCCCCTGGGACTGTAGGTAATAAACCTGAGTTCTCCTTCTCTCTGAGTTACTACTGCTTGGTTTTTCGCTAGTCTGATTTTGGAGCTTTTTCCGCAACAATACCATTGCTGGCTGGGGATGCCATCCCATTCCGCCTCCCAGGTTACATGTGCTCAGGCCTGTCTTATTGAGGGAAATTTGCCAAAAAGATTCAGAGGTACCCAATGAGGCTACTTAGCAAAAACCCCCAGCACCCTCATTCCTGGATCACCTCAGGGATGAGGAATTCACCCCTTCTTCAGACAGGTGTGGTGCTGAAGAGAAATCGGGGGAATTTCATTAAAAACTAATCAGCTTTCTGCTTCTGTAAATATGCTTGCTTTCTGCAAATAAGCTTACTGCAAGCAAGGGCTCCTGCAAAAGCTCCCTTGCACTTTGCTCGACTTGCAAATGTAACTGTTTGTGCCTTTGCTCCACGAATGTAACTGTACCCTAGCAGCCTCTGGCTTTCTGTAACAATTTGTATTTGTTCGCAACCCTGACAACTCCCGGCCTTACCAATGTTACTACTTGTAGCCTCCTCAGCAACCTCCCGTCATTTGTAAAGGTTTGAGTTCTAACTGACCAATTAGCTTGGGTGAAAATTCTGGTATATAAGCAGTATTTCAACTGCACCCACTGCCCAGATCTTCAGAGTACTAGCTCGAGTGCGACCGCGCTAGTAAATTTGAATTCTTCTCTTCGAGTTACTGCTTGGTTTTTTTGTTGAACTGGGTTTTGGAGCTTTTAGGATATTTTTTCCACAACAGTGCCCTAACAGGAGTTGAGATACATTTGTCTGGAATTTGTCTTCACTGGCTGCACGGAGATAAGGGAGGGAACAGACTAAGGGGCTCCTCTCCACACTCCTAATGCCACTAGTACAGGCCAATGCACCTACTGCGTGCCAGACATTTTAATGCAATCTCTTCTAAGCCTTACAACACCACCACTATGATACAATTCTAGTTTTACTAAAACAAGGAAACTGAAGTTCAGCAAGGTCAAGTGGCATGCACAAGGCCACGTAGCTAGAAAGTGGCAATGAATGAAGGATCTAACGAAGGGGCTGAAGGCGTGTGATTGGCGTGATCCGCACTGGTTTGTGGAGTGCAGTGGGTACACACAGTGCACAGCGCCTGCGGCCAGGTCCCGGGAGGCCTGGCCCACACAGGCCCTCTGCACCGGGGCCCAGGGGAGCGCAGGCTCCCAGAGGCACGGCCGGGCTCTGCCCCAACCGCGCCGGCCGCCCCGCCCCCGCTCCGCCCCCAGCCCGCCCAGCCCCGGACCGCAGACGGCGCCCGGCGGCGGCGCGAACGGCAGCGAGGAGAGTGACTCTGGGCTTGGAACTCACTGCGACTTCCCGCCTAGGGCCTGGCCAGACAAGGATCCACGGCCTCAGTGGCGCTGGAGGATGCGTCCGTGGCCCCGGGCGGCAACAGCGGGCAGCCTGGCGACCTGCAGGTAGGAGCTCTGCGGGCGCAGAAACTTGGGCCGAGTTTGAGGGAGGCGCGTGGGGAAGGGTCGAGCGGCGCTGTCCCAGGGCGCCCCTACCGGCTGGCCCGGGGATGGAGCGCGCCGGGCCTGGGCCAAGGCAGTTTTTCCCGGGCTGACCCGCTGCGGGGTCGGGGTCGCGGTCGCGCCGCTGCTCCGACTCTCCCCGGACTTCGAGGTTCCCAGGGTCAGTAGGGCTCTGGAGCTCCGGCGGGGCCCCGGTGCAGGGCTGGTGAGAAGGAGCGCGGGCCGACCCCTTGGGCCTCACGCGAGGTCCAGCTCACGTGGACTGCCCGGGTAGAGCTAGGGGGTGGCGGGCGCTGAGGCGCCGCGGGGCCCTGGACGCGCCCTGCTGGGATGGGACGGCCCTGCGGTTTCCTCGCTACGGCTTGACTCACCCTCTGGCTGCAGCCCAGGCTGGCGGGATCGCCCCGAGGCGGTGGCTGCCCGGATTCTGCGGCTGGGCCGCCCCCCTGCTCCAGGTCTCCCGCCAATCTTAGGGTGTCGGTCGGTGGGCCTCTGTGCGCGGGCCTGCCTGCATGCACACGTGTGCCGGGGCCCGAGCGAGGGGAGAACGCAGTTCTGGAGGGGCATGTGTGCAGATGTGGGCCATGTACATACTTGCAGGCACGGGTTTGTATGCGTGGCGGCGGCCTTATATCAACCTGCTGGGGTGCACGTGCGCCCTAGTACCGCCGGACAGGGCGTGGGGACACCCGGAAGCCCCAAAGCCAGATCGGCTGAGGGCCCCAGGCACCAGAGTTATAGGCGGGGCAAGTAGAGGAAAGCGGGTAGACACCAGTTACGCGACCCTTTTCCCTCCACTGTAACGTGGGCTGCCCAGGTTCGGTTGTAGCGATAGCAGGGCCCAGAACCTCAGATGGGGGAAGTGTGAGTCCACGGGGTGGGGTTGGGGAGGGGGGGGAGCGATTCAGTGCTCTGAGAGAGGCCAGACGCTGGCCACAGCTGGACAGGATCACTCTCTTCCTGATCTTTCCTAACGTCCATCTGGCGACCCCCTAGAGGTGGAAGAGGGAATTGGGCCACGGAGCTGTTTGCTTCCCCTGCTGCTTAGGGACAGGATGGCACAGCGGTGGTGGGCTCTTCTGGATCCTGCCCTGGGCCCTGGCTGAGGTTGGTCCTCCCAGCCCAGCTCCAAGCTCAGCCAGCAAACAGCACGATGGCTCAAAAGGTGATGTGATCCTGCTCCCCGGGGTCCCACCCTTCTCCAAGCAATTGCTTGTCTCTTCAGTGGGTGTGTGTCAGGGAAAAAGGAACCTACTTTTGGCTGCTGTCTTGAGTGGAAAGGGGCCTCACTTGAGGGAGTGTATACTGGACTCTCCTCCTACTGGTAGGAGGTAAGGTCACCCCCATATCCTCATAGTCCTCTGATAGCTCCCTGGAGCGCCCATCTCCTAAAGACTTCTTAAGGTCCCAAATGGCCTTACCTCTTTTGGCTGGGTCCTGGGGGCGGGGGGAGTGGGTGTCTTAGGAAGTCTCTAGGGCAAAGGGCGCACAATGGGCAGAGCCCAAGAGAGAAGGACTCCTGTTACTGGGAGTGGGTATGGAGAAGGCCCCAAGAAACAGATGGGGGTGGTAAGACCAGAGCCAGTATTTAATTATTCCAGAGCTCTTGGAGGGGTGCTCAGCACCCACAACCATACAATCCCTTCTTGCAAAGCTGCATCCCCCCTAGGATACAGGTCCCTGTCACAGGGCACTGCTGTTGGTACTGTGGTCCTGATGTTCCCTCCTGTCCCCTCTGGAGCATCCCTTCTCTAGGCTGGTCTGCAGTGTCAGTTTCTGGCCAGGAGATGAGCCAGCTTTCTGAGAGTCTCACCTAGCTTCTTTTGTGCAGTTAGGCTGAGATGAGAATGGGCATTGGCCTCCATATCACCTTTGTCTTTTCCTGACCCGCAGATATGCTAGTCTAACTCTGAGCCTGTGGCTGTCATTGGAGAGAACTGGAAGAGGGGGCTGGTCTTGGCCTGTTAGTGGTGGAAACCTGTGACACTTGGCCCATGGGCTAATCATAGCAAGATTGAGCTGATTCACCCTTTCTAAGCCACCTGAGGGTTTCAGGGAACAGGGCACTGGGGGATGGTAGAGGCAGGTGAGTGTTGCCCTAGCTGACTAGCCTCATGACCCTTCATAGGTCATTGGGTGCCTTGAGAAAACCCACACTCCCCCTCTCTGGGCCTGGGTCCCAGTCCTTTCTTGGCTTTACCTCAGGGCCTTAGCCTTTCTCTGGCACTCAGTTTTAACATCAGTACAAGGCAGGTAGTTGCCACCTAGCACTGTGGGCCCTGGAGGCTCCCTCCCTGGACATTCACATCCTCCCACCTCCCCACCTGCTTGTCCTGGTGCTGTGCCGCTCCATGTGCTTTGGAACAGCCCACTGCAGTTTAGGGACTGGGATGACAGGTTCTCCTCCCCTATAATTTTGGCACCTTCCTGCTGGTGCCACAGCACCATCTACAGGAAAGCCTTGGCTCTCCTGCTGGGGTTGGGGCTAGGGTTGGAGGGGTGTGGCTTGTACAAGGTGATGCTCCTGGCCACCTCTCCTGGGGGACCACCCTCTGGAACCAAGCCCAGTGTCTGTGTCACTCTGGGCCTAGATACCTGGGTTCCAGGCCTGGTTTCTGCCATTTTTTTATAAGATTGGCCGGTCAGTTCTCGTGTGGAACGTAGTGACTCCATCTTAAAGCTAATCTACCATCGTGACATCTGAGTGAACCCAGACCCTTGACCCCCCTCCCCTTCCCCGGGGTGAGCTTTGGAATATGTGCACAGAGCTCTGGGCTGATCACAGGATTCCCATTAGTTCTCTCTTCAGCATGAGTCGCCCTTGATGTTATCTATTTCTTAACTTGCTCTGGCACCAGAGCCTCCTGGCACCTGATCCCTTTGATCATCTACACATTCTCACTGCTTAGCAGATAAGCACATGGTCTGGGAGTGGAAGGTGCCAGGATTCATTTTGTCTTACTGCTGCCCAGGACTGCGTTTCTATACTTAAGTTCCCTATTTAAACTCATTAACCAACAAGCTGGGCTTGTCTTGTTCTTTGGTCTCTTGGCTCCCTCAGTATTTGGGGGCCACTGTGCACATATAGCCCTCTTTTGAAACAGATCTAAAGAATGTCACAGGAAATCTGAATTTGTAGACACGGCCCAATTCCACATCTTGTCTGCAGTGGGCATCTAGAGATAGCTATGGCATCTTGGAATAAGAGCTTGTTGTGGGAGCTAGGAAGTCTGCCTCTTGTCCCATGTGGAGGAGAGCGGAACAGAGGGGCTCCTGGAGTTGAGGTTGGGGGAGTATATTTAGGGCTGCTGTACAAGAATTTATTAACAAAGGGTTCTGCAGCTTAAATTAAGTTGGAAACCTCTGCATTATATGGGTCATGCATACATTGATTCATACAGTCTTTATTGAGCTAAGTGCCAAGTTATTAGGCATGGCAATGAGCCAGTGAGAGCAGCAGCCCTCTATTGCTTGCCTATAGCCTGTTCTTCTGACAGCCCATGCCTCTCTCCTTCTGTCTCCCAGGTCAGCAGTTGAGTAGCTGGGGCCCTGGAGGGCTTGAAGCCTTCTCAGTGATGTCGGAGAAGCGGCCACTGGGCACCCTGGAGCCTGTGATGTATGGCAAGCTGCCCCGCCTAGAGACCGACTCCAGACCCAGGCATAGCTTGCCTCCTTCTGCTGGTAACCAAGATCTCTGCAACTACAAGGGTGCCTACTTCTCCTGCCCCATGGGGGGTGCTCCCAAAGCAGGGTCTGAGCGGTTAGCATCCTGGACTCCGTACCCACCCTTGTATCCTACCAGCGTGGCAAGACCCCCACTTCGGGCAGACAACCTGTTGACCAGCTGCCTGCTCTACCGCCCACCAGCAGAAAGCTCAGAGAAGGTGCAGGACTCTGGTCCTGTTGAACTCCTGCCCTTCAGTCCCCAGGCTCATTCTTACCCAGGCCCACCGCTGGCTGCACCCAAACCTGTCTATCGCAGCCCTCTGTGTTATGGGCTCTCAACTTGTCTGGGGGACGGGGCAGCGAAGAGGTCGCTGGATGTTGACTGGACACTGGTGACTGGGTCCCTAATACCCCCAGCTGACCCACCTTGTTCTCTGACCCTGGCTTCTGGCAAGGGCCAGTCCCTGGATGGCACCTTCTTGCATGGGGTGCCAACTGGGGGATCTGGCAGAGACTCCTCAGGGAGCTTTTCCCCATGCCATTTTTTTTCGGACCATCCGCAGCACGGGCTTTCTGGCTTCTAAGTATGTCGGTCCTTACTCTGGGGACTCCAAGCAGGCATTGTCAGAGGGATCCCCTAGTCCTTGGACCCAGCTGGCCCAGCCTCTGGGGCCAGCCTACCAGGATACAGTACCCTCCTCCCACTATCCACTGCCCCACCCTCCACAGGCCCTGTCTTGCCCTCCAGCCTGTCGCCACCCAGAGAAGCAGAGCAACTATAGCTCTGTGCCCCCGCTGCAGCCTCTGGGAGTCCACAAGGGGGTTGGGTACCCAGCTGTTGGGCTGAACAGCCCCTATCTGAGGCAGCAGGCAGCCCAGACACCCTGTATGCCCCCAGTGGGGCTGGACACTTATTCCTACCCCTCTGCCCCACTCCCAGCACCCTCACCAGGCCTTAAGCTGGAGCCACCTATTGCTCCACGGTGCCCACTGGACTTTGCCCCCCAAACACTGGGCTTTCCTTATGCCCAGGATGACCCCTCTCTCTGTGGAGCATCCCCAGGTCTCAGAGGAACACCTCCTTCCCAGAACAGTGTGCAGGCTATGCCACAGCTCAGTGCCTATCAACGGGCATGCCAGCCTTCATCTGCCAGCCAGCCATGCCCAGAGCCTGTGAGGGCTGCAGAGAAGCCGGTTCAGGGAGCCGAGGAGACGATGTGGCTGCCCAGCTGCAGGAAAGAGCATCTCCAGCCCCAGCTCAGTGAGCACCCCGGAGCACCCATTGTTATAGGAGACAGTCCAGTTCCCCGTACCCCACCAGCACTTCCACCCTGTGCCCGGGAGCGCCGGTCTCTTCCACAGAATGAGAGCATGCTGCCACCTGGCTCTCCACCCATGCCCATCATCGACAATGTCTTCAGCCTGGCCCCCTACCGTGACTATCTGGATGTGCAGGCGCCTGAGGCCACAGCTGAGCTTGATCCAGTCGCAGCCCCTGCCCCCAAGGACAGCTATGATCAAGACTCCAGGGGGACCTTGCCTGCTCAGGAGGCCTCTTCGAGGGTGCACTGCTCACTTAGGGAGGAGGTAGCACTGGACTTGAGTGTGAAAAAGCCTGTGGCAGAGGCTCCTATCAAGGTGCCTAGTCCTGCAGTGCACACCAAGCCCCCTGCAGCCGTGGATGTGCCAGGAGTGGGGAGCACAGTCTCTGGGGAGCCAGTGACCACAGAGGACTCCCCAAAGACCAACTTCCACAGCTCCGTGGCCTTTATGTTCCGAAAATTCAAGATTCTCCGGCCAGCACCCTTGCCTGCAGCTGCGGTCCCATCTGTGCCCACCTCAGCCCCTGCCTCTGCCCAGCCTGCACCCACCCCTACATCTGTGCCCATTGGACTGCAGATTCTTACCCAGCCATTGCCCATGGCCTGCTTTGACTTGGCACTACCCAGTCCTCCAGCTGTAGCTGTGGCCACCCCAGCCCCTACTCCCACTCCATCGCCTGCTCCGGCCCGGGCTCCAACTCCAGTTTCTACCCCTGTCACAGCAGACTCCCCAGAGCAACACTTTGCAGGACTGCATGAGTCCCTGTGTGATGCCATCTCAGGCTCAGTGGCCCACTCCCCACCTGAGAAGCTGCGAGAATGGCTTGAGATGGCTGGGCCTTGGGGCCAAGCAGCGTGGCAGGACTGCCAGGGTGTACAAGGGCTGCTGGGCAAGCTGCTGTCCCAGTTGCAGCGCTTTGTGTGCACTCAGCAGTGCCCCTTCCCCCACGTGGTGCGGGCTGGGGCCATCTTCGTGCCCATCCACCTGGTGAAAGAGCGGCTCTTCCCAAGGCTGCCACCTGCTTCTGTGGACCATGTGCTGCAGGAGCATCGTGTGGAGCTTCGGCCCACCACACTATCGGAGGAGCGGGCGCTGCGGGAACGAGCCCTGCGTGGCTGCACCTCACGCATGCTGAAGTTGCTGGCGCTGCGCCAGCTGCCTGACATCTATCCTGACCTGCTGGGCCTGCAGTGGCATGACTGCATACGCCGCCAGCTGGGTGAGCATGGGACAGCCCCAGTTGCCACCGGAGCTGTGTGAACGGGTGACAGGTGTGTGGAATGTGTGAGTGCTCACAGCCAGGGGCTGAGGGATTCCTGGGCCTCTGGAAAGGGCAGGGAGGCCCTAGAACTTGGGCCAGGGGAGAGGGCTGGACTTCCTGGGTGAGCTCTAACCTTCACCTTTAGCATCAGTGAGAGCCTCCATAGCCTCCTCTGTAAGCCTCTGAACATCCTATCTACTCTGCATGGAAATACTCTCTTGTCCATCGTGGCACTGTGCCCTCCTAGATCTGTCCCTCTCCTCTACTGTGCCTTCTCTGTGTTTGCGGGAAGCTTCTCTAAGCTCTGGGGCTCTGCCCAGGCCCTGTTTTCTGTCTGAGGTCATTTCCCCACTGTGTCTGTGTCCCACCCAGCTTCCCCTCTTTTGAGCTCTAGCCTCAAATAACCGACTACATGCTAAACTTCTGCGCCTGGTGCCTGTAACCCTTAACTCCTCCCAAACCACACTCCTGAGCTTTCCCCTAAGCTCATTTCCCACCTCCGTGAACTGGCACCTCCACTTCCCCAGCGCCTCATTCCTGAAACCTGACAGGGGTCTTCCCTCCCTCCCAACACCGTTGCCTTCTGAATGTGCAGTCTTCAATCCTCCTAGGTATTTGCATTCGTGGAAGTTTTCCAATAAGTCAAGGCCTCATTTTGTGGTTCGCTTTTCCCAACTAAATGATTGTTCTCCAGCCTGCTCTGTGTATGTCCTGGAGCATCATCTGATCAGTTCAGGTAGCTCAGCCTGGGAACTGCTGCAGTGTTGCATGGTGTGTACCATCTCACTTCTTCTGCCAGGACTTTGGTGATGATGGTACCCATTGTTCTCCCTTGCTGCCTCCCCTGCATCAGGAGCTCTGGCATCATGGCCTCCTCTGTCTCTTTCTCTCTGCTTCCCTGCCTTACCCACCACCAAGCCTCTATCTAGACTGTCTCTGTAGAACTGTTCCTTGTGTCCTCCCCATCCTGGCAGCCTTGCCCTGGTCTCTTACCTGGTCCAGGCACCAGGTCAGGTGGAGAAAGGGGTCTGAGGCAATGAGGGCAGGTATGGAGCTTGGGACCTGCAAGCCTAGGGCCTGGCGAGAAAATGACGGGCTCAGCTTCCTCTCTTTCCGACCTCTGGGTCCATCCCCATATCTTTGGCGGGGTGGTATTCTTAGACAATACTCCCCTGGCAGCCTCTCTTCCATAGGCAGCATTTGGTCATGAGCTCCCTGCCATCCTTTCCACTGCTCCCTCCACCCACCTCTGGGCATCACTTTCAGGGCTGTCCTTGCCTGGGCTCTGGCTCCAGCTCCGGCTCTGGGGGTGGGTGGCGGAAAGATGATGGCAGTTTGTATGGCACAGCCCTCTCTCCATGCCTTATTTTCCCCACCTGTACAGCAGTCCTTTGTACTAAGGCAATGGTTCCTGGCCTCTTGGGCCGCTTTCCTCTTGTGCTTGTACCCAAACAGCTTCTGAGTAGCCCGCATCAGATAAGAGCTCTGTCACCACCTGGGGAGAAGCACACCCTCTTGGTTAATGGTCTGGCCTTTGGGCACATGTAAGGAAGAAGAGTTGTGATTTCTATGACCCTTTTGGGGCCATCCTGGCCTGGAACATAGCATAACCACTAGTCTACAGGGCTTTGGAGGCCAGAAGATAGGATCTGAGGGTGTCAGGATCTATAGACTGACTGTGTATTCATTTTCCAGGTGACTTTGACACTGAGGCTAGATCTGTGTCCTCAGAACCCATCATGGACAGAGATAAGCCGGAGAGCCTAGCCTTGGCTCAGAAGTCACCTGTCCCCAAGGCCAAGAAGTCTGGGAAGAAGCCACCAACCCCTCACCCAGAGAAAACAGAGGCAACTGCTACGAGAGGGTCCTGCAGTGCCTCGCCTGTCCCTGCTGCCAGCACCAGCCCACCCAGCCCGATGCTGAGGGCCCGCTTTCGCAGCCTGCTGGAAACTGCTTGGCTCAATGGCCTGGCACTGCCCACTTGGGGCCACAAGGCCTCAGGACCAGCCCAGCCTGCGCCCCGCCCACAACTGTTGGGTGGCCAGAGCCATCACCTGTAGTGCTGATGACTGGTGCTGTTTGGACAGCCACTGCCTATGGATCACTCTTTTTACCCCCGCTTCCACTGGCCCAGCTGCCCAGGGCCAGGAGTGGGCATGCCCTTGGAGTTCTTCCAGCTCTCACCCTATCCTCCTTCCCCAGGGCCTTTATTAGATAGGACTACTTCCTATTTCTTCCTTAGAGAAGAGGCTTTGGAGCCCAACCAGCCTGGGCTTGGATCCTGGCTCCTGTGTTCCTTGCTGTGTAACCAGGCAAGTCACTTCCTCTCTTGAGCCCTCAGTTCCCCATTCGTAAAACAGGACAACGCAGCCTACCTCACAGGGTTGTTGTGGGGATGATGCCTGACACACACCCATTATGGTTTGCTCTCTACTCCCTCCCCAGGACAGGGGCCCAGATCCCAGGTGGAACCTTTCTCCAGAAAGTCTTTATGTCATAGAACTTGATTATCTTGGAGTGGTACAGTGTACAGTTTATATAACTCCCATACTTTTAAAGTCATCCCCCAGAAAAGCCTGGGGCTATAGCCCCAGTGTTCGGGGTTAGGCCTTGAATCCCAGTCTAGCTCCCTAAGGGAGCCTGCCCCGCAGAGGTGCAGGGATACAGCATGGGGCTGGCAGCCTTTTCTAGGCCTGCTGCTGTCACCCCTGGAAGGTCCAAGGCCTGTGCTAAATTGACACCAGTGACTTCTCTGAGCTGCCAACCCTACTTGGTGCATTATCCCAAGAAAGTTTTGTGTTTCCTAGAAGCCAAGCAGCTACAGGGACTAGAAGGGACAGACTGAGTGACCAAAGTCTCTGAAGATATGGACTGAGGACCTTGGAGCTCACCAAGCTGGGGTCCCATCAGCCAGGCCTGCTGTGGGTTACCTCCTTGCAGTGCGAAGCTGGGCCCTTGGCTAGTTATGGTTTATAATAAAGCTGTGGGCCCTGGAGGCAGCCCATTAAAAATTAAAGCATTTGAGTTGTTTCTGGATCTGTGGCCTGGCTGTGTGTTAGGGTGGGGGTGGGTGGTGTAGGTTTAATATGTCATCACTAGGATCCCAGCCCTTTGCTGGAAGGCTGCAGCTATCCCAGCTCCCAGCTAAGAAGGCTCTTCAGCGACCTTGTCCTAGCTAGCTCTGGCCATATGGGCCCTTATCACATGTACTGGGTAGCCACTTCCTGTTCAGGAAAGCTTCCTCCTGAGACTTCTGGTTCCTGCTGGTTGCTAGTCTAGCTCACTGCCAAGTAAGAAATGCTGGTCACCAGGCCCCAGCACTTGATGTGCCCACCAAGGTCTAGGTAGAACAGCACTGTCCAACTGTCCATTACTTCCCATGCTGGTGTCTATCTGCTGAGGGA